GTTGAATTTCAACCTCACATTGCATGGAACGATCTGTGTAAAATAAGCAAAATGACACAATGCAGTAATGCCAACACTAAAAATAAAATAGTTATTACATTTCATCTAATTTCTTACCGCCGCATGACGAAAACTCGGCTGGAAGTAGATGCCGAACAGCTTGCAGTTGCAAGGCTGCTGGCGCATCTTGACTTGCACAGTCGACATAGTGGTGGTGGTGGTGGCGCCATTCTTCCTAAAGCAATATGAGCAAAGGATTAACGATCAACTAAATCAAAATTTTCTAAGTGAACTAAATCAACTAGCCTACTAAATCAACTAAATCATATCAACTAAATCAAAATGTTCTAAGTGAACTAAATCAACTAGCCTACTAAATCAACTAAATCATATCAACTAAATCAAAATGTTGCATATGAACTAGCCTACTAAATCAACTAAATCAAAATGTTCTAAGTCAACTAAATTAACTAAATGAATTAGCCTACTAAATCAACTAAATCAAAATGTTCTAAGTCAACTAAATCAACTAGCCTACTAAATCAACTAAATTATATCAACTAAATCAAAATGTTGCATATGAGCAGGAGGGAGAAGGAGGGACGACTCGAGGAGGGAGAAGAGAGTAGGATGGAGGAGGAAGGCAGAGCGAGGAGGGGCCGGCCGGCGCGGCCAGTTGAGGGAGGACGAAAGAGGAAGGTGGAGCGAGGAGGGGCCGGCCGGCGCGGCCAGTTGAGGAAGGACGGAGAAGGAAGGCGGAGCGAGGAGCAGGGCCGGCCAGCGGCGAGTGGAGAGGGAGGACGGAGGAGGAGGCCGGTACCGAGTCCAGCAAGGAGGAGGAGGTGACGGCGCGCAACGCAGACGGAGGAGGGGCGACGGGGGCACGCGACGCAGACGGAGGAGGGGCAATGGGGGCGCGCGGCGAAGACGAATCGGAGAGGATTGAGTGGTTGTGTGTGTGAGTGGATCGGAATGGAGGAGATGGGGGAGATGAATGGCTTAGCAGTAGCGCTCTTCAGGAAAAGACGCTACTGCTAAGCTATCTAGCAGCAACGCCTTTCACAATAAAGCGCTACTACTATGTGTCAGCATGTAAAAATAGACTTTGTTTAATATATCAAAAATACATTGATCATCACCGATCTTTTTGTGTACAATCTGATTTGTCAATATGAGTCCTCACCGGTTTAGGAACAGGTGAATACTCATATTGCAGCCACAAATTCTACACATAGAGTTCAATGAAGATCAAGTGCTTGTCAAAGTTTGAGAAGTAACATATTTAAGGTGGTAGAAACTCTCTTCACGGAGCGAGGTGGGACTAAATTTTTGTAGGAAACTTAGCAGTATCACTTATCTGAGAAATGCGCTGCTACTATGCTACGTAGCAGTAGCGCGCGTCGCTATAACGCGTTGCTGCTATAACTAGCCTCGCGGCGGCCTCGTAGGAATTATAGCAGCAGCGCGTCTTTGGGAGGACGCGCTATTGCTATATTTGTCTCAGCGGCGAGTTCCGTCTATGCGCGCTACCGCTAGTTAGCAGCAGCGAGTTATTTTGAAGCGCGCTGCTGATAAGTTTCTGTGTATAGGCTTTTCCCTAGTAGTGTGAGCCTTCTTCATCAGGCTCGTTACCATAACTCACAGATATGCTCTTTGCCAATTTCTGAATAAGAAAAACATATCAATTAATAAATAGCCTCGCAAATAAGTACATATGGATTATCTACACTATTAATAGTTTCCTTAGATTCTACACTAATAAGCACGTGATCGAACTCTACACTAAAACATATCATCGACTAGATTCGACACAACATACCATATCATTGGACTGTACACTAAGTATTTCATCGGATAATTTGCATTTGTAAGTATAACATACCATATCATGTCGATCAACCATGGTATTTATCAGTCGGGTCACGAATGGCACCCCGACAAAGTCAGCATGTGGCGGAATTATGTCCCACAGGTTGGACACCTCCTCCTCGCTCAGCCTTGTTCTTTGAGCTACGATGGCTTCATGAAGTGGGTCCTCATCATCTTCATCGAGTGGGTCCTCATTATCTTCATCATCTTCATCATCTTCGTCATCTTCAACATCTTCCACCAGGTTGAGATAAATGACAGCCATCTTGGGTCTTTCTGCTCTGAAGGAGAAGCTGGTCAACTCACCACCAGTAAGACGCATGCGGGCGAGGAAACGGGCCCATCCATTTCCTCCAATCTGTGACATATTGCATCCTTTCTCGACCTCCATAGTGTACGGCCCCCCAGGAGCCTCAAATGTCACAGTGTCTCCTGTTAGCTTGTTGAATTTCAACCTCACATTGCATGGGACGATCTGTGTAAGAAAAGCAAAATGACACAATGCAGTAATGCCAACACTAAAAATAAAATAGTTGTTACATTTCATCTAATTTCTTACTGCCGCATGACGAAAACTCGGCTGGAAGTAGATGCCGAATAGCTTGCCAGTTGCAAGGCTGCTGGCGCACCTTGACTTGCACAGTCGACATAGTGGTGGTGGTGGTGGCGCCATTTTCCTAAAGCAATATGAGCAAAGGATTAACGATTAGATGACAAGGTACCACCTACCAAAGCATTTCGATGGCACCTATTGCCTAAGATAATTGATTAAAAAAACAAGTGGCAAATGTATCTAAATTGGCACCTACATTTTGCCAAAAAAATAACTTATTACAAAAAAACAAAAGCATCTACCTATCCATGTACAAAAAAATAACAATAAAATGGTGCATACTAAATCAACTAGCATACTAAATCCACTAGCATACTAAATCAACTAAATGACACAATGTTCTAAATCAACTAAATCAACTAGCCTACTAAATCAGCTAAATCAACTAGCCTACTAAATCAACTAAATGAAAATGTTCTAAATCAACTAGCCTACTAAATCAACTGAATCATATCAACTAAATCAAAATGTTGCATATAAACTAGCCTACTAAATCAAAATGTAGGAGGGAGGAGGGAGAAGGAGGGGCAACTCGAGGAGGGAGTAGAGAGTATGACGGAGGAGGAAGGCGGAATGAGGAGGGGCCGGCTGGCGGCGAGTGGAGGGAGGACGAAGGAGGAAGGCGGAGCAAGGAGGGGCCGGTGAGTGGCGAGTGGAGGGAGGACGGAGGAGGAGGCCGGTACCAAGTCCAGCGAGGAGGATGAGGTGACGGCGGCGCAGATCGGAGGAGGGGCGACGGGGGAGGACCGGCGACGCGGGGGGTTGTGGGGGAGATCGAGTGAGTGTGTGGATCTGTGGGTTATTGCGACTAGTTAACTTAGCAGCAGCGGTTATTGCGTAAATGCGATGCTGCTACGACCCGTAGCAGTAGCGCTCTTTGTATTAACGCGCTGCCGCTATAACTGGCCTCGCGGCGGCGCCGTGGGAATATTAGCAGTAGCGCGTCTTTGAGTGTACGTGCTACTGATAAACTTGTTTCAGCAGCGTGTTTTGTCCGCGCGCGGCTGGTAAGATTCTGTGTATAGGCTTTTCCCTAGTAGTGTCCTACTGGATTGATACCTTGGTTCTCAAAAACTGAGGGAAATACTTATGCTACTTTGCTGCATCACCCTTTCCTCTTCAAGGGAAACACCAACGCATGCTCAAGAGGTAGCAGCCACCATCCACCTGTATGTCGGCCATCGCTACCTCGTGTTTGTGGTCGCCAAGGCCGGTCTCCTCCTGAATAGCCTCCGGCGCTTCATGGATCATTCCGCCGTCACCTTCGCCCATAATCACGTGTGGCCTGAGCAGCGCCTCCTTCGTGAGACCTGCCGCTTTCGTGTTGCTAGCGCCTTCGACATCAAGGCGCCGACGGGCCTACGCAAGGCGTTCATCGAGAGGACCGCCGAGGCTGTGTTGGGCTATGGCGCCGTCCCCAGGCAGAGGTACTCAGAGGAGGTGTGGATGCAGCATCGGTTCCCACAGGAGTAGGTCGAGTCCATGGCGCTCCAGGCATACCGGGCCTCCCGCGTCGGCGTCCACCTCCTCGACATCGAGGATGTCAAGCGCGAGGGCGGCTCTTCATCCGCCCCGCCTCTCCGCGTCGCGCCTCATCGTGGGCGGGCTGTCCAGCGCCCTCCTCTTACTCCCGCAACAATCCAAGGTAGTAATAAATAGGAGTTCAAATATAGGAGCACGCAAAGGGCAACTCCAGTAAAATAGTGGAAAAAACAAGTCAATTTAGCTTTGTACTCCTATTTATTACTGCAGAGCTCCTGCTTTGTTTCGTCGGTCTATCCACGGTACATTAGATGGCACCAGCAGGAGAAGCATGAGACGTGAGAGATATTCCCTCTGTTATTTGAGTGATTTGATGACTAAGGAAAATGGTGGATTTTAAAATATTATAGCAAAGTGTTCAAATCCAGGAGGTCGGTCAAATCAAGGGGTAGCACTGCCAGGCTACATAGGTCTGGCTTCAACTTGTCCAAAGTAAAGAGAGGTTTACTTTGTTTTGAAATGACGGGCCATAGAGTTTTGGGACGGTCAAAAGGAAACTGGAAGAAAGTGTGTGGGCTTTGGGTGTGTACTTTTGGACGGAGGATCGCCGTGCACATGACTGGCTGGAGGGAGAGATATCCTCGGGGGGAAGGCGTGCAAAAGCATTTCCTTTCCGTAGCCCAAACCCAAACCCACCCACCCTCTTCTTCCTCCCTACAAGAACCATAAACGGCCGCCAAATCCCACCTAGCAGAAATGGTAGACCCGCTCTCTTATCCCCTTCCTCTCCAATGCCAGCCATCCATGTATCGTGGTCGTAGTGCCACCATCACGGCTCGCCTCCGGCATGCCACTGCCGCGAGGCAGAGCTACGCCGTGCGCGTGGGCGAGGACAATCTGAGCGCGATCGTCATCGCCAGCGGGAGTGACGCCTGATAGTGGATCCAAAGGACCAAGCTCCTTAATGACCAGGCGGTCCAGTCTGGCCGCCTCGTGGTCATCCTCACCCTCAATAGGCCCCTGCGCGGCCATTGGGATGGGGGACGTCACCTCCCGCCGGCCACCATCCAGCTATGCGCCGACCATCGCTGCCTCGTGTTCGTGGTCAGCAAGGCTGGTCTCCTGCCGAACAGCCTCCGGCGCTTCATGGCTCATCCCGCCGTCACCTTCACCGGTAATCACGTGGTGTCCGACCAGCGCGTCCTTCACGAGACCTGCCACCTCCCGTGTCACGCGCGCCTTTGAAATCAAGGCAGTGACGTGCCTGCACAAGGTGTTCATCAAGAGGACCGCCAAGGCTGTGCTGGCCTATGGCGCCATCCCTAGGCAGAGGTACTCAGAGGAGGCGTGGATGCAACACCGGTTCCTGCGGGAGCAGGTCAAGTCCGCGGCGCTCCAGGCATACATGTCGTCCCGCGTCGGCATCCACCTCCTCGACATCGAGGCTGTCATGCATGAGGGCGACCCTTCATCTGCCCCGCCTCTCCGCGTCACGTCTCGTCGTGGGCGGACTGTCCAGCGCCCTCCTCTTACTCCCGCAGCGGTCCAAGTTAGTAATAAAAAGGAGTTCAAATACAGGAGCACGGAAAAAGGCAACTTCAATAAAACAGTAGAGAAATCAAGTCAGATTTAGCTTTGTACTCCTATTTACTACTGTAGAGCTCCTGCTTTCTTTGTTTCGTTGGCCTGTCCGTTGTACATTAGACGACACCGGCAGGGGAAGCGTGAGACGTGAGAGATATTCCCTATTTTATTTGAGTGATTTGATAACTAAGGAAAATGGTGGATTTGAAAATATTGTAGCAAAGTGTTCAAATGTGAGAGGTCGATCAAATCAAGGGGTAGCATTTCTAGGCTACGTAGGTCTGGCTTCTACCTATCCAAAGTAAAGAGAGGTTATTTTATTTTGAAATGGTGGGCGGTAGAGTTTTGGGACGGTCAAAAGGAAACCGGAAGAAAGTGTATGGGCTTTGGCTGTGTACTTTTGGACGGAGGATTGCCATGCACATGACCGGCTGGAGGGAGGGATATCCTCGGGGGCAAGGCATGCAAAAGCATTACCTTCCCGTAGCCCAAACCCAAACCACCCCTCCTCCCTCTTCCTCCTTCCTACAAGAACCATAAAAGGCCCCCAAATTCCACCCCGCAGAAACCCCAAACCCGCTCTCTTCTCCCCTTCCTCTCCAACGTCAGCCAACCATGGATCATGGTCGTAGCGCCACCATCAAGGCTCGCCTCCGGCGTGCCATGGCCGCAAGGCAGAGCTACGTCATGCGCGTGGGCGAGGACAAGCTGAGTGTGGTCATCACCGCCAGCAGGAATGACGCCCGGTGGTGGATCCGGAGGACCAACTCCTCAACGACCAGGCAGTCCGGTCTGGCCACCTCGTGGTCGGCCTCGCCCTCAACAGGCCCCCGCGCGGCCACGGGGACGGGGGACGTCACCTCCCGCCGACAACCATCCAACTGTGCACCGGCAATCGCCGCCTCGTGTTCATGGTCGCCAAGGTCTCGGTCTCCTCCTGAACAGCCTCCAGCGCTTCATGGCTCATACCACCGTCACCTTCATCGGTAATCACGTGGTGTCCGACCAGTGCCTCCTTCGCGAGACCTACCGCCTTCGTGTCACGCGCGTCTTCGACATCAAGGCGGCGACGGGCCTGCGCAAGGCATCCATCGAGAGGACCCCCGAGGCTGTGCTGGGCTATGGCGCCATCCCCAGGCAGAGGTACTCAAAGGAGGCGTGGATGCAGCTGCGGTTCCCGCGGGAGCAGGTCAAGTCCGCGGTGCTCTAGGCATGTCTAGGCCTCCCGCGTCGGCATACACCTCCTCGACACACAGGATGTCGAGTGCGAGAGCGGCCTTTCATCTGCCCCGCCTCTCCGGGTCGCGCCTCATTGTGGGCGGGCTGTCCAACGCCCTCCTCTTACACCCACAGTGATCCAAGGTAGTATAAATAGGAGTTCAAATATAGGAGAACGGAAAGGGCAACTCCAGTAAAATAGTGGAAAGAGCAAGTCAGCTTTCTCCTATTTATTACTGTAGAGCTCCTACTTTCCTTGTTCGGTCTGTCGCTGTACATTAGACGACACCAGCAGGAGAAGCGTGAGACATGAGAGATATTCCCTCTTTTAATTGAGTGATTTGATAACTAAGGAAAATGGCGGATTGAAAATATTGTTGCAAAGTGTTCAAATCCGAGAGGTCGGTCAAATCAAGGGGTAGCACTACTAGACTACGTTGGTCTGGCTTCTACTTTTCCACAGTAAGTTTACTTTATTTTGAAATGGTGGGCTATAGAGTTTTGGGACGGTCAAAAGAAAACCAAAAGAAAGTGTGTGAGCTTTGGGTGTGTACTTTTGGATGGAGGATCACCGTGCACATGACCGGCTGGAGGGAGGGATATCCTCGGGGGGAATGCGTGCAAAAGCATTTCCTTCCCGTAGCCCAAACCCAAACCCCACCCCTCCTCCATCTTCCTCCTCCCTACAAGAACCATAAAAGCCCCCCAAATCCCACCCCGCAGAAACCCCAGACCCGCTCTCTTCTCCCCTTCCTGTCCAACGCCAGTCAGCCATGGATCGTTGTCGTAGCGCCACCACCACGGCGCGCCTCCGACGTGCCACAGCCGCAAGAAAGATCTACGCCATGCGCGTGGGCGAGGACAAGCTGAGCGCGGACGTCACTGCCAGCGGGAGTGACGCCCGACGGTGGATCCGGAGGAAAAAGCTCCTCGACGACCAGGCGGTCTGATCTGGCCGCCTCGTGGTCGGCCTCGCCCTCAACAGGCCCCCGTGCGGCCACGGGGACGGAAGTCACCTCCTTCCGGCCACCATCCAGCTGTGTGCCGGCCATCGCTGCCTCGTGTTCATGGTCGTCAAGGCCGGTCTCCTCTCGAACAGCCTTCGGCGGTTCATGGCTCATCCCGCCGTCACCTTTGCCGGTAATCACATTATACTATTTATAGGTGTTGTCTCTTAGGTATATGTTAATTTAACAATACTATTTTATATAGTTGAAGTTAATTTTGAGATTGGTTACTGTAAAACAATTATACTAAATTTTTATAATTTTCTATAACTTTGTTTTATCATGCAACAATATTGATCACTATAGTTCATTATTTTCATATTTAATGATGCAACTTATTCCTTAATATTAGTTAGTAATATTTGTTATATAACTGTTATGTATATCATTACAAATACACTTGCATTGTGATAGCTTTAAATTGTATTTTGTAACAGAAAATCATCTTTGATTTTTCTTTTGGCAAATTGCTAAACTATATAGAGAAAATTTTCTTGTGTGCGTGTGTGTTCGTCTGTTGTTTATAGTCACATATAATGGTTGAGATATCTAAAGCGTATGATCAAGTAAATACTTTAATGGTAGTTTCTAGTATATGATTAGGTAAGCATATTTATATAAACTTCTAAAGCATCAGTTATAGCGGGTTCAGTAATAAGGGGACTGCATGTGTATACTATGTATGTTGTATTAAACTAATAACATTTATAGTAAACACCAAAGAACTTAAAGCTAGTGTAAACTATATTATTTCCATATACATGCGATTTGATCATCTAACATGCTCACCAGTAATGTTTTGTGTAGCATATGTATAGCCCAATATATATCCCATGAAGTCGCGTCTAAAGACGGTCTGTCATCTCGTGCTTGTAATACTCCTCCATCTTAATGAATTGTGCTTTAGTGTTTCTGTGGTTTTTACCATAAAGGTTCGCACGTAAAATTCTGTGTCTCTTGTGTCTTGTTGATCTTGTTTTATCTAACAAGTGGTATACAAAGCCAAGTTTATACAGATTAGATCGAGACGAGAGTTAGGGTTGTGTTCATCGCGCCGCCACAAGTCACCGAGACCAAAGATGGGCTTTTCCGCTGCAGCCATTGTACTGCAGCAGTCCACCGAAGTCGACACAAACTTCTACTGCAGACCGCCGTAAAATCGCCAGTTGTGCGCTCTACCGAAGGATCCTAGCGAGGCATCACCTCATCCACCGAGTTGTGAGCAATGTACCTTAGGCAATCACAAGAAGGTGAAGTTCTAACACTTCAGTTGTTACAACTAAATGTATTTTTGATTATGTGAATTCTGATTTATGGGGACCGTCTCACAGAAAGTCACTCGGTAGTGCTATTCACATGTTGACTATTATTGATGATTACTCAAGAAAAGTTTGGCCTTATTTCTTGAAGCATAAATATCAAGCATTCTCAGCATTTAAGGAGTGAAAGATTATGATTAAAGGACAAATTGAAAAGATGGTAAAGATACTTCACACCGATAATGGTAAGGAATTATGTTCTAAACTATTTGAGAATTATTGCAAGTCTGAAGCACACTACATCGTTCCTTTTTACTCCTCAACAAAATGGTGTTGTCGAGGGTATGAACATGACCATTATTTTCAGGGCTCGTTGCATGTTGTCCAATGCATGTTTGCATGGACGTTTTTGGGCTGAGGCCGCTTCCATTGCTTGTTATCTTATGAATTGGTCACCATTTATTGCTCTTAATAAGAAAATTCTAATTGAGATATGGTCTAGTTCTTCTGCTAATTATTCACAGTTGAGACCACACTTTTAAATTGTGATGCAAATTCTATCGTATTGTACTAGATGTAGTACAAATAATGTGGGCGTTGCGTTAACGTCGGCGCGTATGAGTACAACTCATTTTACTTGTCCTCCAAGGACTCTTGCATTGCCCTCGTATATACCCCATATAGTCGCACCTACAAAAAGTCTGTCCTCTCGTGCCTGTAATACTCCTCCATCACAGTGAATTGCACCACTAGTAGATAAACCACCATTAGTCCCGGTTGGTAAGGGCCTTTTGTCCCGGTTCCTGGACCGGGACTAAAGGGTCGTTACTAATGCCCTGGCCCTTTAGTCCTGATTCAGTCCAGAACCGGGATAGATGGGCCTCCACGTGGCCGGTGCGCCGAGCCTACGCAGGAGGGCCTTTGGTCCCGGTTGGTGGCACCAACCG